CCACACCCAGGTTCCTAAGGTGGGTTCTGGAGTTTGAACTCAGGCCTCAGGACCTCAAGCTTGTGCTGCAAGTACTTTCCCAAGTAGGCCATCTCACCAGCCTCATGTTTAAGAATATGAAATGTTTCAGTTAAACTCTGCAGCTTCTTAAATGGTGGTAAGATACACATAACAAGGTACTGTGTGTATTGGTCAGTGAGACAAATAAATGAGATAAGCTGTTTCTGAGGAATGACTGTTTGATCTGTGTTTACAGAATTTCAGTTGATGGTCACTTGGCTATGAAGTCTGGAGCCTGTAATGAGGAATAGTATTAGGGTACAGGGCATGTGGTGGGGCAGAGCTGCTCACCTCATGGGGACAAAATGACAGAGGACCACGTGTCCTCTCCATAGATAGCCCCAGGGACCTCACTTCCTTCCTTCAGGTCCCATTTCCCAAAGGCTGCATTGCCTCCTAATAATGCCTTAAGTGGTGACCAAAGGGCTTAACACATGGCTTCGGGGAATAACATCCAAACCTAACACACCCTAGACATTTATAGGTACAGATTCCCAGCACAGATTATATTCATGTTGCAAACAACCAACCCCCAGAACTCTGCATCTTACAGAACAGAAACTCTACATCCATCAAATGCCTCCCTAATCTACCTTCCTTCCAGGACCTGGAAACCACAAATATTCTGTTTTCTATTTTTATAGATTTGATCACTTAAGATCCTTCATACACTACTTGCCCTCTTGTACCAGGCTTATCTCACTTAACAACTTCCTCAATATCAACCCTGTTGCAACATGAGTCTGAATTTCCTTCTTTTTCAGGGCTGAATACTATTCCATCTTTTATATAGACCACACATTTTCTTGTCCATTCATCTGTGAGTGGACACTTGGATTGCTTCTCTTTTTTGTGCAATGTGTAAACTTGGTGAAACATTCAGTTGAAAAATCTATACATTTAGTTGAAAAATCTATTTTAGAGGAACCATTTTGGAGCTAGTACTGAATCATTTCAAATCTTTTTAGTTCTCACAGGAGACAGATCTTCACTTCATTACTACAAATTTGATCGTATCTGTGTGACTTTACCAAGGTCTCCTGGAGAAGAGCAGCCAGCAAAGCTCAGGTTTGAACTTGAGTTTGTCTGCCTTCACATTTCAAATTCAGATAATCAGCTCAGCGATAAAAGCCCCAAAGAGACATCAGCTATTGCCCGCAACGTGAACGAAATGCAATATTCATTTATTCCTGATTGCTGGTGGTAATCTTGCCCATGCTGCTCAATCCTCTACATTTGGAGATAAAACACCTCCGTCCTCTGCTGAAGTCTGCTCTTCTGGGAAGCCTTCCCCTTGCTCCCTGTCAGTCTAAGCTCTAATAAACACTTCAAACCCAGGTCGCTGTTCCCCAGGCTGACTCTAAGCAGCCCAAGTAAGAAGCATAGTGAAGTGTCTGGTCACCAGCTAGAAAACGCAGATTTGGGGAAATTACTGAAGGAATTCAAGGAAGTGATATCCAGAGGTGGCAAAAGGCAGACCCACAGGAATCCCATTCCATTTAGACAGTGCAAGAAGTTCCAGTGGGCTGTGGCACCTGAGGTTGATAAAGGTAAGAGCTAGGAGAAGGGGTTTTGAATGCTTTTGTAATAAAAAAAAAAAAGGTAGGTGCTGTAGGATGGTCTGTATGGCAAATGTGTTGCTCTGATTGGTCAATAAATAAAACACTGATTGGCCAGTGGCTAGGCAGGAAGTATAGGCGGGACTAACAGAGAGGAGAAAAGAAAGAACAGGAAGGCAGAAGGAGTCACTGTCACTGTCACTGTCAGCTGCCGCCATGACAAGCAGCATGTGAAGACGGCGGTAAGCCATGAGCCACGTGGCAAGGTATAGGTTTATGGAAATGGATTAATTTAAGCTATAAGAACAGTTAGCAAGAAGCCTGCCACAGCCATACAGTTTGTAAGCAATATAAGTCTCTGTGTTTACTTGGTTGGGTCTGAGCGGCTGTGGGACTGGTGGGTGACAAAGATTTGTCCTGACTGTGGGCAAGGTAGGAAAACTCTAGCTACAGGTAGGTGTTTGGGAAGCTAGGTTTGCCAGACCCCATTTAGACTTTACATACTGTAGACAGGTATGGAAGCATATCATGATACCTCATTCATAAGCACAAGTTTTTAGTTGTACATATAAATATAAAAAGATAAAACCAGGAATGACAAGATGACTCAGAGGTTAGTAGCCCTCTGCTCTTCCAGAGGACCTGAGTTTAGTTCCCAGCACCCACATCTGGTGGCTCACAACCACCTGTAACTCCAGCTCCAGGGAATGTGGCACCGTCTTCTGGGCTCTTTGGCCACAAACACACATGTGGTATAAATACACATGCACACACACACACAGAGAAAATAAAAATAAGTAAATATTTTAAAATAAAATTTCAAAATATGCTCAATTGAAAATTAAAACTCTTAGATAAATGAATGAAAAAAAGAATAATTACTCAGTTAATTTTTTACCTTCTTGAGCTAAAGCAACGACCCACGTGGCCGGTGAGCAGGCTTTCCCTGGGGACGTGAATAAGAAAAACAGGAGCAGATGAGAGATGCAAGGCTGAATCTCTGAAGTGCTCCCTCCCTGCAAAGGATTGTTAGCATGGCCCTGAGCCTCAAACACAGATGCTCTGCCTACACATTCTTGCCATTCAACACGAGTTCATTCTCTCTCTTCATTACACAATTTTAGTGAATGCCTTTTCTTCCTACCAACTTCTTGCTTGCTTGCAAGTGACTGAAAGGACAATCTCCAGACTGGGCCTTAGCCCCCATGCTTGTACTAAGCTCCCTTTAAGCAGCACTGCATGAAGGAGCGCATGCGAGACTGCAGAGGGACGGAGCAGAAGCGTCTTTCCATTTGAGACCGTGGGACTCCAGGTCATGACTTCTAACTTCCCTCTTCATCATACATGATTTTTACAGTCTTTCTACTGTGGCCTTACTAATTGAACCACTCTTCATTAGTGGGTATTAGTTCATTGCCATTTTTATCTTTAAAAAAATGAACATGTCATATTCATCCCTACAATGCACTAGGAGTTTCGATACTGTATTGTTTTTAGGGCATTGGGGACAGTGGATAAATACATCTACACCAGGATACCTGGAAGGAATGTGCCAAATAATGAGGCTTGCGTCACTCACTTTTGTATTTGTTTTGGTTTTCTTGTTTGGTTTGTTTTAGGGAATAAGTACATATGAACTTTTTAGAATTTTTTTTTCATTAAAAAAGCAATAACATTGTAGAGGCTAAAAAGATGGCTTAGCAGTTAAGACCACTTACTGTTCTTCCAGAGGAACTGTGTTCAGTTCCCAGTACCCATGTTGGGCCAATCTCAACCACCTATAACTCTAGTTCTGGGGGGTCTGACATCATCTGAACACACATAGCAGGTACTCACATAGACAAACAGACATGCACATAAATAAAAATAAATCTTAAAAAAAAACAGACAAGCAACACTGTAAACCCATATAAGCCAAAGGCTATAATTTTCTAAACTAAATACCTAATTGAAAGATCAATCCCTCACTGAAATGATATGTGTCTTGTTAGCTTTTTACCCAAGGGGAAGAATATTAAAATTCCCTAGTCAATCATATTTACCCAAAAGGACCAGCACCAAAACACCAAGGTGTATACTTCATTCACTCCAAGGTGCCTTCCATTGTAAGTCGTATCATCGTTCTACCAGCCACTAAGAAATAAGGAGCATCTGCGCCAGCTTTAGGACATCCAGGCTGGGAGACATGGCCCGCCTTCCCAGGTGCCAGCATGTGAAGGTCATCTGCATCTCAGACCTGAGGAACAAGAGTATGGTTCACTCCCTCACCACTAACTTCCCTGCTCATCTACTCAGAAGTCACATCGTGATTCAGAAAGCTTTATTATGAGCCTAAAATACTCAAGGTCCTATTGGAACTGAATCAATATTGAAGACATGGCATAAAAACGGCCCCTCTCCCTTCATAAAGACAGGCACAAATCTTTGTAATGAATAGCATCCTCAGGCTAGACTGGAAGTGTGAGGAGATGTTGCTATAGCAGAGGCTAGCTCAGTTCCTGTTTTCAGGGGGGGATGCTGGGAATTTTATGGAGGGGTTGCTTATCTTTGCCGTAGAATCAGAACATCCTTCTCCAGAGTCAGATGCAGAGGTTCTGGTACCCAGCAGAGCCCTGCTGTGTCCCTGAGCCCAGCACTGCACCTTCTCTGTGCACCTCCTGTGGGAGTCAATATAGACTGCACTCCAGTCTGGGCTCCAAAACTGAGGGGAAGAAGACACAGCCTTCTCAATGTCTTCTGAGGAATTTGGCACAGAGTGGATTGCCTCTGATACCGAAATCAAGGGCAAAGGCTTGAAAGAGAAGTGTGTCAAAGTGCAGTGAAAAAAAAAATCAACCTGAAATCACCATGACACGGGACCCAGGGCTTCAAAAGACAGAACTCTACCCTTCATTATGGGCTGTGTTTTGTGCAATGGTTCTCTTTTCCTTCTGGCAATTAAGGGAAAGTCCTTGAAAGGACAAGTGAGAGGATAAAAGTCTCTCTCTCTCTCTCTCTCTCTCTCTCTCTCTCTCTCTCTCTCTCTTTCTCATCTCATCTCAAATACTCAAATAATGTGAAATGAATTTAAAACAAGTGATGGCGAGACAAGAAAAGCAAAAATCCGCATCACAGACTTGACAAACAGAGGAAATCGTGAAGGGACGGTGACCGCCGGGAAGGAGCCAGGGCGTAGTCAGGAAGGCAAACAGCCCCAAGTACAAATGCAAACCAAATGTTTACCTGTAACGTGATGACTCACCTTGAGGAGGTAAGCACATCTAAAAAAATATTCTGAGGACACAAGGCTGACTGGGATTTTAATGGATGCCCCCCACAACTCCCTTCGTTTTCTGCTCCCTGGCACCAACAAACACTGTTGGGCATTTTGCACACTGCTACTGGAGTCTCCTCTCATGAGCGTGAGTACCCTCCTCCATTAGTGCTGTTTAACTTTTCCTGGGGAGACGGACCATCTCTTCAACCCAGACTGAACACTGAACAAACTGAAGGAATGATTCCACCTCAGTCTTCCCTAGTGACTTTGTGTCTTACTGAGGTGACTTCCGAGAGTATAGGGATGAGCTACTTACGGGAGTGTGAGGGAGAGGTCACTTATAGGGTCACGTGTCACTCAGTTGTATTACCAAACCACTCCACCCCGACATGGGTGACAGCTCATGAAAGCTGCATCCACAAGACGCCCCATACAATCTTTAGACAGCTTGGCCAGTCTGAGTCCCTTGCCTTGTAATTATTACTGCTTAGGTATCCATGGGAATGAGGCTTGTGACTCCCAGGAGCTTCCTGACTTTGTGAGTTTCATCTACTTCTTCAGTCTTATAATTCTCTTCCTCTCCCCTCTGGGAGGAAACAGCCACACAACAACCAGGCTGGGCTTATCTATGGTAAGTCAAGCCAGCCTCCCCGTCCAGGATAGGGCTCACATTCCCAGCCTCCATCATAACCCAAGGACAGGGGTCTTCCCTTGCCAGTCTAGTAGGTAAATGATGCTACAACTCACTCAGACCCTTGCCTTTGTGGTGAGGACTGGCCAAATGTGCCACACAGCCTGTCAGCAAGCTCTCATCTCGCTCTGCTCCCCAGGGCAAATTTCCCCAGCCAGACAGCCCTTCTCATCTAGAGGAGCAGACATAGCTCCTGCTAATCTCTGGGAAGCAGAGTCCATCAAAGACCAATCTAAAGAAACTGTGTCCAGCCTCCCAGCAACCGGAGCTTGACTCCTCCCACCTGCCAGGTCTA